TGGGTATCTATAAAAAAGATTTTGTCTACCTTGTGATTTTTCGGCAGGTGAGATATTTATGTAGAAAGGGTATCGGTGTAAAACAATATGATGAACAGTCACGACTTTTAGGGAGTTTGGTAGATTGCAAATTACACGATATGTTTTTGGTAGGGCTCCTAATTTCTCTTTAAAATTTATTCAAAAGAAAATGAATGAATGCATAACATTTTTTTAGATATGTACTAATATTAGTTATTATATACAATTACTGTGTTGATTAGCTTGCCAACGTACGTGATTTTGATGCAAGAATGCGTCTTAATTATTGTTTCCAACCTTCCAATTATATTAGACAGCTATGTCTAACTAGTAACTACACATATTGTGTTTCACTCTATCCTCACAAACTAATCATATTCTGTATATATTTATATGAATCCAATTTTAGTATTTTCTCTAATAAATACTTGTAGAAAAATTGATACATATTTAATTTCGATATAAGCTAGAAATTACAAATTAGTTACAAAATGAAATTAGTCTCTAAGCTTGTCCCTTTTCTTTTTTGTAACTCTATGCTTGCTTCTTTATTAAATAGAATTGACTGTTGAAGAACCTACTGGGCCTTTTAGGAACCGGTCCCATCATTTACAAAAGGTCCATTTTTATTGAGTAAAGAGAGAAGCCTCTGTGAAGCCTTCTTCCTATGAGGATTTTGATGAAGACAGGCACAGTAGAAAGAAGAAGAGCAAGAGGCTTTAGGAAACTCACACTATTTCATTTTTCTTTGTTTCAGCCATTGTTGACTTTCTATTGTAACACAATGGTGAATTTTGAGAACCTCCTTTAGTGTTTGGAGCTAAACAGCTCTCTTGGAGAAGGTTGTAAACCAACAAATGTTCCAAAACTACCCACCTTTTTTTTTATTCTTTTTTTTGTGAAAAATGTTAAGATTAAAAATGTTAAGATTAAAACTACCCACCTTTACAAGTCTATCATGTTAAGTCCAGAGATTGACAAACTCTGAGTAAAGTCAGAGGCTTATTTTGCAACTCGTATGTAGTTCGACTACTACAGACTCTAAGCTCTCTTTACTACAGTGTCCTTCCTTAAAGACTTTTATCTATATACATGGAAACGCGGCTGCTTCACCTTGTCTTCATCTTGTTTTTCACGCTATTGCTAAAGATCTTGAATTTATCCCGCCACTATGCAATCACTTATGGAGTTCATTTCTTATGAGTTACCACTGGGAGATTAATTACTATAAACATGAAACATATGTTACACCTTTAAATTCAAGTTAATTAGGGCTGTATTTTAGGTATTAGGATTGATTTCGGGTATGACACGTTCAGTTATGGATAAATTGGATTGGAGAAATTATATCGATATAGGATCTAATAATGTTTCGGTTAGGATATGGATAATTCCAACCAGTTTCAGATGATTCGGAATTTCGGATATGCATTTTTAAAACATAAATATTATATTTTATTATGTATAATTTTTTTGATTATTTTCTTTGTTATAAAAATTTGATCTAAAATCGTGTATATATATAACATAGTTAATGTAGTCTAGTGGTAATGCATGTGTTACTTTGCCATTTTTAAACACGAGTCTCTGTTAAAACCATTACCGATTGAATTCAAGTTATTTCAAGTCGGACTCGGTTTGGTGTTGGGTTCCTAGTAAAAGAAATTGCAGCACAACTCTAACTCTTTTTTTTCTTCCAAATTGTTGTAGACAATCATATAATTTTTGTAGAAAATCATGTAATTTTCAATGCGATATAGTCTTGGTCAGTGGATCAGTTCAAGAAAAATATGTATATATATAGTTAGCCTAACTAATTTAAGCGATATGCACAATGACATCAAATTCTATTCTATCCTTTTATGGACGCTGATGATGTAGTTTGCATCCATAATATCCTATTATATATATAATGTAGAGTGGCTTGAGTTGGAGAGATTACGCAAGACTGACCAATGTTTCTTATCATTTTGGTAACATTTTTTTTCTTCTCAAAATAGAGAATTAACAGCATGAAATTTCAAATAAATTGGAGGAAGATTTTCTATTGACAAGAATTTATATCGCTGATCATTTGGAAATGTATCCAGGATTCAATTAATATTTGGCAGATTTGCATATTCTAAAAGTTTTAAATTTGATCTCATTTTCGTTGATTTCAAGATTTATTAGTAGTATAAATTAAAATTGTTACAAATAACACAGGATAGTATTGGGAAAAATGTATGTCTTAATTTTGTCAGAAATATGAAATATACTAATTAAAGAAAATGTAGATACGTAAGCGTCAAGCAACCTACTATATTTGTTAGGTGTCATCAATAGAATAGCGGATGTCAAGTTATTTAAGCAAATTTGGATGATGTCGGACAACAATCAGTAGCGGACAACTGGGCATGTTACATATACAAAACTCTGACGAAGAAGATAATTCTTAAAAATATATCGACGAGTGGCATTCTCAAAAATAACTTTTAGTACACGTATGAAAGAGGACAAGCAGGAGAGTGATTTATGCTATTAGGTGCTTTCTGAAACTGTGAAATGTGAATAAACCATGAAAAATAAGTAACCAGAAAACAAAAATATCATTAACATATATATTAAGTGCAGCTAAAAGTGTGTTAACTGATTGTAAAACTGAGAAAGATATGTGTAGAGATAGAGAGATGTGGAAGATATAAAAGGAGTCTAAATTATTCAGGCTTTCTAAATAAGTGGTATGATCTTGGCTGCTAAGTGTTAAGAGTACCTTTAACCCATTTTTAAAGTGGATTTTTTAAAAATGGGATCTATTTTTTTTTTTTTAAACCCATTCTTTCTTCTTTTTCTACAAAATCAAATTTTTGTAGGGTTCAATAACGACCGCGATTGGTTAGTTTTTAATTTATTTATTTTTAAATCAAATAAAAATAAATAAAACCGGGTTAATGCTCTAAGTTACATAATCCACAAGAGTGGCGTAATTATGCACGTTTTTACTATAATAAATTTTACTATTTTGTGAGTCTTAGTCCTTGATAAATCTCGTGCTCTCTTATTCCATTCACTCTCTATATTTGTTATTCTCTTCTTTCTTCTTTCTTTTTTGACATAATTCTCTTCTTTTTCCTCTTTGATCTGCAGTAATGCCTCCAATCATAGTTTACATATGCAGAATATATTACAAGTTTCAGTTAAGTCTATAATTTTATAGAAAAAGAGTGAAAAACATGGAGCGAGGAACCACAACAGTGCCAAACAAAAGAAAACAATACTATTCAAAACCTTTATTAACAAAAAAATATGTCTTTTATCCATACGTGGTTACATGGTTGCAACTTGCGAATTGAAAAAAAAACTTGCATACAAAAGAGTAAAAATAAAGCTTAGTCAGCTACAGCAAAAATGGGTGCATATCTGCTATTTTAAGATGATGCAAACAAAATATTGGAAGACCTAAAAAATCATAAACAAGTAAACCAACTAAGTGCATGTACATATTCAAAATGTTAGTTGAGAGAGTACGTTCGCATCTAAAGATATTTTATTTTATATGTGGTACATACTAATGTATAAAGCTCAACGCTGAGCAGATAAGGATGATGCATACTATATATTAATATATTTATTTGTTATTTTCATTCGAAAGTAGGGTGGCTTACGAATATACCTGAGACCTCCTTGCTTTAAATTCTTAATTTGTTTTCCATTTGAAAACCATTTGAGATAAGACACGCGCAAAAGAAAATTCAAATGGAACATTGCAGTAGATGCTTCTAAGATTGATAATTTTCTTTATTAATAAAATTGTCATGCACTCAATCAAAAAAAATTGTCAACCATTTTAAGCATTACGAATAGTCGTCACTGATCCACGTGCTAACTCTCAAATACGATTGGTATTTAACGATATAGCTTACGTATGTTCTTTCTGAATGTGGTAATTTTTGTTCCATTAACAATTAAGATGGTTTTGTGACTTTTGTCTTTCCTTATGATGATCAAATGATACAAATAAATACAAGCACCGCAAGATTTTTGCTCATACAATCTATTATCAATAGTGCGTACAACAAGATGTAGGATCTAAGTTCTAATTAGTAACTTTTTCTAAAAAAAAGTTTTGTGTAGCAACAATTATCCCATAAGAACTCTTAAATTATATAATATATATATAACTAAATAAAATAATAAGGTTTTGCAAATAATAGCACTATCGTTGTCAAAAAAAAAAAGCAAATAATAGCACTATTTCACAACATAATATGTGTACTTTTGATCAAAAACAGAGTGGTCCGGTGGTAAAAAAAAAAGGATGGGATGTTAACAAATTTCAGATTCGATATACATGCTCCACGAAATTAAATCATACTGTTCTTGAACATCCATATGGATATGTGTCTATGTTTTCGGATCTATTTGCATATCCGAGAGAGATAGTCTATTTACGGACTATATTTTCCCTTAAGGATTAGTATGAATTCTTCTATTGGTCTGGCATATCTACAAGTTAATAAGAAAAAATATTTGTACTCCCGCCATCTACTACAAACCCACGGGCACGTACTGATACAGTTTTTTGCTAAAAGATAGAGATTTACACGTACTGACACAGTTCCAAACCGTTCGTTAGAATTCAGAGATTAGTCAACCGTGTTCCATTTTCATTGGAGTTGCATAAAAGTAACTTGGTATTAAATCTGGACAAGGATAGGGAATGTTACAGAAGCCAGTTTTCTGGGATATATCGAGAGTTACCCTACGAATTGTGACAACTAAGGAAAAATAGTCTAAATGCAAAAGCTAAAAGTGGCAATGACTAGTCCTGCCCGATAAAGAACAACACCAACACATATTTAGTTGTTACATCCAAAAAAGTAAAGAATACAATTGTTATGTTATTGACCAGAATCTCCTATATCCATTTCATTTTTTTACAGGATAATATTTTGTAATGTAATATAGAGCCTTCGAGATTATTTTTTAAAATATATAATAATCTATAAATATGGGCAACCTAAGACGAACAACATCTCCACTTACTTTTTCGATCTTATCCTTATCTTCTTCCTTGTTCTATTTGGCTTCTAATCTCTCTCTCTTCCCAAAGTCTTCCTACATCTTCTTGTTTAAGTTGTTGAGATCTTTGTCTGATAAATCTAGAGTTATTACTATTTGACCAAAGATAAAATGTCAATGGACCGTGTTATGAAATGAGAAACCTCAACCAATTCTCTCGTTTCCTCGTTTATCATTCTGTATCCGTCGTGATTCTTCACTGGTTTTACGTATTTTCTTGAACATTTTTTCTCTATTTCTTGTTTTTTTTTCTCTCCCAAAATATTAGGACAAAAACATGGCAAACGCTGAGAAGACAAGTTCAGTTTCCGACATAGACGAGAAGAAGAGGAAACGCAAGTTGTCAAACCGCGAATCTGCTAGGAGATCGCGTCTCAAGAAACAGAAGATGATGGAAGACACGATCCACGAGATCTCGACTCTTCAGAGACGAATCAAAGAGTACACTGAGAGATGCAAAGCGGCGAGAGCGAGGCTTGACGCGGTAGAGTCGGAAAACGCGGGTTTGAGATCGGAGAAGACGTGGCTTTCAAGTTACGTTAGAGACTTGGAGAATATGATGGCCACGACTTCGTTAACGCTGACGCTGAGTGGAGGCGATGATCAGAACGCAAACGCGGATGGAGATTGTAGGCGTAGACCATGGCAGCAGCAGTATGGTTGTGATTCTCTCCAGCCAGTTGCCTCTTTCAAAACATGAACTTAATTTGTGTGTTAGTCTGTACTTTTGTTGACCATTTTATAATTTGTGTCTTTCATTTTTACTTTATTTTAGACATCTTTTATTTGGTGAAAAAAAACATTGGAAAACGCCGACTGTGGGGATCGAACCCACGGCCACGGGATTAAAAGTCACGCGCTCTACCACTGAGCTAAGTCGGCTGCTGTGCTAAACATTTCTTTAAACAATATCTATACTAAGGCTTCATGCATAATGAACTAAGAGATACACTGATATGATAGAGAATTAGAGATGTTTGAATGCCACCATAGGGGATATACTTATCAATCTGACTTGAGAAATAGTTACGTTCTCTTGTTTCTCGAAACATTTGTTAATAAAACTAGAGGAATGGTATAATTAACGTGTTAAAAAATTGGTATAATTCACTAGGCCAAGCATGACTGGTCCCTTCTCACAGCATTGTCGCAGACGTTACTGATTTCAACCACTCAATCAAACTCAAACCAAAATAAACTTGTTACTTAGAGAAACTTCTTTTGTTTTTTACTTAAAGAAACTGCATCGCATATAATACGTTGGAGGTAGGTAGTGATAGTATGCAAAGAGTTAGTTAGGTTGTGTTCCTACCTAGTTCAATTTTTTTTGAGAGAAAAAATGATTTACGACATTTTATTAGAAATTGAAATCTGACCCGAACTCCTCTGATTAAGCAAAAAAAAAAACTGCATATCATAACACTTCTCAATAAACATGTGCCATATTTTTTGTTTTTTAATAATCTAGTGTATCCACCAAAATGGATTCAGACTAGCAGCAAATATTCGTATCAGCATATTTTATCGGCCGACGTATGCTCGGTCACCAAACGTTGGAAGAACCCAAATTTTAAATTTTATCTTCAATAGGCAATGGCCAACGAGATTCGAATCCGGATTCGTATTAGAGCCAAAGCTCCCTCAAAACCACTAGACCATCCTCGTTTAGTTACAATAATATTTATATATATTCACTCTATTTTTACTGGTCTATTTGAGAATCAACACATTAGATATTGATGGTCAGATGTTCTCGTAAGAGACTCGACAAGAAGACACATAATTGGTAAATGGTTAATTAAGCCATAATAAAATGGTTATATATCATGATTTGGGTTAATTAATACGCCTAAATATTTTATAAACAAATTAGTTGCCGGATTTAATGAGTGGACGAAACTAGGTTAAAATATTTTGATTTTGGTTGTTTTGTTCTAATCAAACTTGTAATCATATCTAAATTCATTTTTTGAGTTGAATAAAATTTATTCAAGAAAAAAAAAAGGTTATATATCAACTGAGGATAAATTTGATTGACTTTGTTAAAAGGTAACTATAAACTTGCATCCTATCGGATAATATTAGTCTACTAAAATGTTATTACAAATCAAAACACTCAAAAGTATCCTTGAAGTTGAATCAAAACGTTGCCGAATCTTGAAGACAAGAACCATACCACCAGCAAGGTTGGTAACCCATGCTTAATAAGAACAGTGATATTATAACGACCGTCACGTGATTCCAGAGTCTAAAATTAACAACCAAACAAATTAATTAATTAATATATATTTACTGTTAAACTAATGACATTAACTGGTTACTTACTGATATGTTGACAAAAAATAAAAACTGGTTAAAAAAAATGAAATGTTTGGGTAAGAAAGAAGAAGTTGTGATCCAACTACTCACCAATAAGTAGGCCACATGATCACTCCCAGAGAAAGAGAGAGACACCCATCTTCTCCTCCTTCTTCTTCTTCTTCAGACATCTCTATATTAATGCTCTTCTTTCCTCTCTAACCCATTTATTATTTACCTTCTTCTCCTCACTCACTCCTCTCCAGGTTCGTTCTCCTCCTCTCTTCTTACCTTTTTGGATCCGATCTGATCCCAAAGTTTCGATATTTACGAGGAATAGTGCCTAAAGTTCGAACCTTTCAATGTCTATAGATTCGTTAGTGTAATAAACTAATGTGAGATCTGTTGTTAGCTTCTTTTAGATCTGTTTTGGTTTCGATCTGATACAAAAGTTTCGATATTTACGAGGAATAGTGTGTAAAGTTCGAACCTTTCAATGTCTTATAGATTCGTTTAATGTTAGTTAACTAGTGTCTGAAAGATCTTCTGTTGTGTTTTGTGTCATGTAACCAAACCAGTTTCGATATTTACGAGGAATAGTGTGTAAAGCTCGAACCTTTCAATGTCTTTAGATTCGTTTAATGTTAGTTAACTAGTGTCTGAGAGATATTATGTTGTGTTTTGTGTCATGTAACCAAACAAAACTCTGGATCTGACAATTGCTCTGTTTTTGGTACTCTGTTTTCAGCTCTTTTTTCCAAAATGGCAACGGGACAGCTGTTTTCTCGGACAACACAAGCTCTGTTCTACAATTACAAGCAGCTTCCTGTCCAACGAATGCTCGACTTCGACTTCCTATGTGGTAAAAATGAATCACACTGTCTGTTTCCTACATTGGTTTCTGTTTGGATCAATCTGACGGTTGAGATCATTTGGTTTTTTGTCACAGGACGTGAAACACCTTCTGTTGCTGGAATCATTAACCCTGGCTCTGAAGGGTTTCAGAAACTCTTCTTTGGACAAGAGGAGATCGCTATCCCTGTTCACGCCGCGTGAGTACAATCATACAGAATCTGAGATTTTAAACTTTTACTAAGTTTCTAACTTGTTTTTTTTTGTTTATTACAGTATTGAGGCAGCTTGTGCGGCGCATCCAACTGCAGATGTCTTCATCAACTTTGCATCTTTCAGGAGGTTTGTGTTGTCATAAACTTATCATTGTCTCTCTTTGGTGATAGTTTTGTTGATTTGGTTTCTCTCCTTTCTTGTAGTGCTGCTGATTCATCCATGGCTGCTTTGAAGCAGCCTACTATTAAAGTTGTGGCTATTATAGCTGAAGGTGTTCCTGAATCTGACACTAAGCAGCTGATTGCTTATGCTCGTGCAAACAACAAGGTGTGTGTGTTTTTTTGTTGTTGTGGGATTAGCTTCGTTTGTAAAACTTGGTCTTGTGAGACTGATTTGGGTTTTGTTCTTGAAGGTTGTTATTGGACCGGCTACTGTTGGTGGTATTCAAGCTGGTGCCTTTAAGATTGGTGACACTGCTGGAACCATTGATAACATTATCCAGTGCAAGCTTTACAGACCTGGATCTGTTGGTTTTGTCTCCAAATCTGTATGTTCTGTTCTTCTAATTTGTATAAAAGCTCACTGTAACGTATGAGAGGTTTGATTTATCACTCTTTTTTTTTTCTTGCAGGGTGGAATGTCTAATGAGATGTACAACACTGTTGCTCGTGTGACTGATGGGATCTATGAAGGTGAGTTTTGCAACTGTTAAATAATCTGCTAATGACATATTAAGCTGAAGATTATTAAGATGGTTTTGTTTTTGGGGATGTTGTTCAATAGGCATTGCTATTGGTGGAGATGTGTTCCCTGGATCCACTTTGTCTGATCACATCCTACGTTTTAACAACATCCCACAGGTATATTAAATACTAATCTTAAACTGTTTAACATGTTGCTCTCTGAACTATGTTTTAATGCAAGAGCTATAATTGCAGATAAAAATGATGGTTGTACTTGGAGAGCTTGGAGGAAGAGATGAATACTCTCTTGTTGAGGCTTTGAAACAAGGGAAAGTGAATAAACCTGTTGTTGCTTGGGTCAGTGGGACTTGTGCAAGGCTCTTCAAGTCTGAAGTTCAGTTTGGTCACGCAGTAAGTTGGCATGAAACTAACTTTTAAGCTAAATGACTCTTTGTTTGATGTCCAAATCAGATTTTTAGAGTAATTTTTATATATGGATAGGGTGCGAAAAGTGGTGGTGAGATGGAGTCTGCACAAGCCAAGAATCAAGCCCTTATGGATGCTGGAGCCATTGTTCCCACTTCATTTGAAGCCCTTGAATCTGCAATCAAAGAGACTTTTGAGAAACTGGTCAGTTTTCTCCGCTCTTGTTCTAATCTTTAGCTAGCTTGCCTTGTCTTTTGTTGCAATTCTTATGTGTTCATTTCAATTCCTCCTAAAAAGGTTGAAGAAGGAAAGGTCTCTCCTATAAAGGAAGTCACTCCTCCACAGATCCCAGAGGATCTCAGTTCTGCAATTAAGAGTGGGAAAGTTAGAGCTCCTACTCACATCATCTCCACCATTTCTGATGACAGAGGTATTGTTCTGGAACACTAGATTCATTTGTCTCCTTAAGCCTATTTTGCTGATACTTGACATTAATTTGCAGGGGAGGAACCATGCTATGCTGGTGTTCCAATGTCTTCAATCATCGAACAAGGCTATGGAGTGGGTGATGTCATTTCCCTCTTATGGTTCAAACGTAGTCTTCCTCGTTACTGCACAAAGTTCATTGAGGTATCAGTCTCTCTTTGCCTTTTGAATCTATTCTTTCTCAATCCATCTCCCTCATACATCCACATACTACTGCGTAGTGAGATTAAGTCTGTTCTCTGTCACTGAAATTAGATATGCATAATGCTGTGTGCTGATCATGGTCCTTGCGTCTCGGGAGCTCACAACACCATTGTAACAGCAAGAGCAGGCAAAGACCTTGTCTCAAGTCTTGTCTCAGGTTAGTCAAAATCTCACCCACCTCCATGTTTTCTTAAAACTGTGCAACAATCTCTAAGACTGTAAAATCTTTTCAACAGGTTTATTAACCATTGGTCCACGATTTGGTGGTGCCATTGATGATGCTGCTCGGTACTTCAAGGACGCTTGTGACAGGGTAAAAGCCTATTTTACTTTTCCCCCAAACTGCAACTCAGAAAATCCCATGAATCTGATCTCTAATTGGTTGCTTGTTTCAGAATCTCACACCTTATGAGTTTGTTGAGGGAATGAAGAAGAAGGGAATCAGAGTCCCTGGGATTGGACACAGGTAAAACAACACTTCTTGTAATATAAAAAAACAAATAGTCATAAAAAAACAAATAGTCCTTACAAGTTCTCTTGTCTGAAACCTGTTTTCTTCTTCTTTGGCAGGATCAAGAGCAGAGACAACAGAGACAAGAGAGTGGAACTGCTTCAGAAATTTGCTAGGTCCAACTTCCCATCAGTGAAGTACATGGAGTACGCAGTAACAGTGGAAAGCTACACGCTCTCAAAGGCAAACAACCTCGTACTCAACGTTGATGGAGCCATTGGATCTCTCTTCTTGGACCTTCTAGCTGGAAGTGGGATGTTTACTAAGCAAGAGATCGATGAGATTGTTCAGATTGGTTATCTCAACGGTCTCTTTGTTCTTGCTCGTTCCATTGGTTTGATTGGTCACACCTTTGATCAGAAGAGGTTGAAGCAGCCACTTTACCGTCACCCATGGGAAGATGTGTTGTACACCAAGTAAAAAACTCAGCTCCAGCTTTGTTTTTTTGTTATTCTTGCAATTAATTAGCTTCTTATATTCTTCTGAAAGATGTTACTAAAGATTCATATCTATGCTCTTCTTCTCTTCTGTTTCTTTTGTTTGTGATGTTATGTTTACTCTGTTTTTGTTTTTTCATTTATCTGAACTTAATTTCTCTTATCTTTTTTTTTGTTACATTCGAGTCACCAACTTTTGAAATCGTACACTATCAATTGACATCCCACTTTGTTCTTTCTTAACTTCTTTAGCTCTATGTATTTGCTGGATAGGGATGTTATAGCAATCTTCCATATGAAATTTTGTAGCTTACTAGCTTGATCTACTTTATTAAAACAGAAATATCAATATAAAATACCCCTCAAATTTGCATACTATGTATAATTCATTGTCATTGAGAATTAAATTAATTTAACATAAAAAATGTTTGTCTTTTCCATGTAATTAATGCTTTCCTAAAATAATTCAAATAATGTAAGAAACAAATAATTAAATTACTATGCTTATCTTTTTCAGATAGATAAATAATTAAATTGATTCAATTATTTAAAATATATTGACCATAGCTTTTTAAATTAAGTTACAGTAACATAATCATTTTAAAAAAATTTCATGACTAAGAAAATTATGTTACATCAGCATTTGTATTATAATTTGTATAAGCATATAATAGTGTAAAAACAATTAATTACATCACTATGGTCGCGCGGATCTAGTTCTAATTCTAGCTCTAATTGGACTTAAATGACAGGTTTTTCTTCCATTAAATATAAGAAATATGTTTATCACTAGAGGTCGGTCCAAAACAGTTTACATTAAGAACACTAGACAATTAAATCAATGGAGTTGGATGTCCTTCCTTTTACACGGTTAGCTTAACTAAAACATGTTTATTTGATAGCAAAGCATATAAACTATGGTTACTTTATAGATATTACTCCTCGTGTATGCAAGATAAAGTTTATAAAATAATCTTGAAAAGTGTATCAAACTTGATCCTATGACACATGACTTCTATATCATATTCGTTTTTTTCTTTGTTCGAATGGTTGGTTATCTACCAACTATCAACTTGTAGTCCAATACCAACTCAAAGAATCCATAACCTCTCCTCTATTTATGGATATAGATGCGTCGACGTGATTCTTTATATCTAACACACATGTGGCTGTATTACAACCATGAATCATGAACCAACTTTCGATAGTTAATGTTCTGATTTTTTTGAAGTGTTTAGGTTTTTTATTCTGCTTGTCTAAACTAAAACATTATACGAAGAAAACAAAACATCCAGTCTTTTCTTTTATTAGGTTAAGAACTCCTTCCAACTTTCTATTTTCAGACACGTAACGACGATTTGTTTGGTGGCATGCTTTTTAAGTTTCCAGTTTTACATAAGGTAGCTGGAAAAAGGTCATCGGTTCTGTTTTATTCAGTTTGTACCATGTAACTTTTAACCATTTCGGTTTATAACAGGTTTGGATCAACCAAATTAAGCAAAAAAAAACATGTTTGGATCAAAATTAAAATTATATAATATAATTATTATTTTTAAAAAGGAGAGAGTGAGAAAGAGTTGACATTTGGAGCCAAAACAAGGGCTCGGATGCACAGCAATCACGAGATTTTGATTATTTTAGGTGTATTCTTTGTGTGAATCAAGCATGTTCGTTGTAGTGACAACGACGTTAACGTGCATATGAAAGCTAACCTCGATAATGTTGCTGGGTCACCCATCGAGATTGAAGGACATTAGGTTCAATCGATATTAATCAAGTTTATAAAAACAACAAAGAAAGACCTAAAATACATATTTACCTATGAGTATATTATTTGTAGGGATAGGAAAAAACTCGATCTGAACCGCACCAAACCAAACAAATCCAAACCGACGAAAACCAAATCAAAGTTATGTTCTAACTATTTAGTTAAAATTTTGTCAACCTAAAAAACAAAAAAAAAATTGTCAACGTAAATGGTTTGGTTTGATTCAATTTTACATTTAACCGAAATGAGTTGAAAATAAAATGTTATTTAATTATGTTAACCAAATATATTTATAATATTAAGAATTAAGATAGTTAACTAACTTAAACAATTGAATTTATTTTATACATTTTACTTCTAATGAATTAAAATAACAATAGAACATGACTCTCCTATACTATAATCAAAACAAAAAAAGTTAACTATGGTACTTATACTAGTTTAGAAAACAATGATTCAAAACTATTAGAATTACATGTTCTTTGTTTTTGTTGTGAAAGTTAATTTATATGTTTAGATATGAAGAGATTAATAATTTATCAAAGAAGGATATTTGTTTGTGTGTTATAATTATATTTTCTTGAACAAATTAGAACAAAATTAGAATAAACTTGATTAAATTTAACCGCACTCAAATCAAACCAAATATAAACTGAACTGAACCAAACCAAATTTGGGTTTACTTCAGTTAATTTTTTAATAACTAAATAAACCGACAAAACTCTCTGAATCAAAATTCAAACCAAAATGCCCACTCCTAATTATTTGCATTGATTAGTATATTCATAGTAAATTGAAGTATGGTATCTTTTATTGAAAGTCTATTTTTTTACTAGATAAAGTTTGCATGGTCTAAAAGTTTCTAAACGGAAGTGGTTATGAAATGACATGAACGAGGAAAAGAAAAAGTTACTCCACATCGATGATGATGGTCATAGACCCATAATGAACCAAAGTCCAACCAATAAGAGACTTTAAATTGAGCTTACCAAAAAGATAACCTTTTTCTTGAGAAATTAATGGAATGGGTTGCATGCAAAATAAATTGCGTGGGGTCTGTATTGATAGATAGCACTTACACTTGATGATGGCTCTTTCTTCTCATTCAAACTATATACACTGGGGGAAACTAGCATTGGAAACTACTGAATCCTGATCTTTACAAAGTATTGTATACGAAAATTTGGAATATCTTAGTGAACTTTAAGGGTTGAATATACTTCCATAAAATTTATTTTTCTGTTTTCTTGTGTTCCATGAGAATTTTCGTTTGCTTTAACAATTACTGATTAGTACTCTATTTGTTTCACAATTTAAGTAATTTAATCTGTTGCCCAAAAAAAGTAATTTAATCTAAAACACACACCAATTAAAAAAAAATGGTTACACTTCAAAAATATCATTTAATATATATTAGATATAATTCAACCAATAAAAACACATTTTTAATAATTACAAAGTTGCATTGAAATTTGAAAATAATTTATATTTTGAACAAAAAAATATTCTAAGACAACTTATATTATAAAATAGAGTAAGTTTTATAAACCTGAAAAAAACTGATAGTGAATACTAAGTTAATTTTACTATATGTTCACGGTTAACAAATATTTTTAGATAAATAGATAACCAAAAAAAACTTCTGTTTTTTTCATATTTTTACATTCTGTCTTCTTAATTTTAAAATTAGCTGATTTTGCTTCTCACTATTTTATATGGAAAATGAATTTTTAATTCGCAAAAAAAAAAACCTGCGTAACAAATAAATATATTTCCATCTCATCTGGTACATTTCTTTATATGGTCTTTCAGAGTTTAAAACAAAAAAAAAAACTGACTATACCAAACAAGCAGCCAAACTTAAAAAAAAAATCAATTCCAAACTAAATAAATCATCTATTCACCCCCACTAATAGAAAAGCTACCTCCATAAATCGAAAACAAATATTTTATACAAAGAGAGAGTATTGTCTCCCAAAGAAAGCAAACATAAAATAAAACAAACCATCTCTGGACTCAACCCTTCTCCTCCGATTCAAACTCTCTTCTTTTGACTTCAGATTCGATCTTTAAAAAAAAAAATGGAGACTCCACCCGCAGAGGAGCTTCTCAAGAAGATACGCGAGCTAGAAGAGAGCCAAGAGCATCTCAAACGCGAGATGTCGAGGCTCAAAGTCTCCGCAGCAGCAGAGGTTAATAAACAGCGTTCGCATTCAACGTCTCCGCAACGGAGGAGAAACAGTGTTGGTGAAGGAGGAGGGACGAGTTGGAGGAAGAGCGGGACGGCGTCGTTTCGTCACGCTTCTCCTTTGCGTAAGGAAGGAAGATCTGTTGGGAAGTTTACGGATAAACAGTATTTGAATATTTTGCAGTCTATGGCGCAAGCTGTTCATGTTTTTGATCTCAACGGACAAATCATCTTTTGGTGAGAGAAACAATCTCTAAGTGTTGTGTCTGAAAAGGGTTGTGGATTTTGATTCATATAGTTTATTAAGTAGTTAGATTGTTTTGTAATAGATCTCATGTGTTTGAAATTATATTATGGATTTGATTCCTATAGTTTTGGAGATATTTGAGTAGTTAGATTATGGTGTGTGTTTTTTTATGTAACAGAAACAGTCTCTAAGTGTTGTGTCTGAAATGATTGTGGATTTGATTCATATAGTTTATTAAGTAGTTAGATTGTTTTGTAATAGATCTCATGTGTTTGAAATGATATTATGGATTTGATTCCTATAGTTTTGGAGATATTTGAGAAGTTATTAGATTATGGTGTGTTTTTTTTTTTATGTTACAGAAACTTTCTAAGTGTTGTGTCTGAAATGATTGTGGATTTGATTCATATAGTTTGAGGAGATGTTTAAATTAGTTAAGATTATGGTAGCTTCGCTGCTTCTGTAATAGAAACAAGCTAGTGTTTGTCTGTTATGTGTCCTGACTTACATTCAGATGCATAACTCAATGCTTATGTAAGAGAAACAGTATTAAGTGTTCTGTCTATCTCATGTTTTTTGAAATGATTGTGGATTTGATTCCTAGAGTTTAGGAGATCTTTGAGTAGTTAGATTATGCTAGTTTTTTTTTTTTTGAACTCGATGCTTTTGTAATGGAAACAGTCTAGTGTACTGTCTATCTCATGTGTCCGAGATGATTGATTCATATAGGTTTGGAACTCGTTAAATTAGTTAGACTGTGGTACTGAACTCGATTCTTTTGTAATTGAAACGTTCTTGTTTTTGTCTCTGTCTTATGTGTTCCCAACTGAGATTCAGATTCATAACTCGTTGCTTTTGTAATGAAACAATCTAGTGTCTAAGTGTTGTGTCTGAAATGATTGTGGATTTGATTCATATAGTTTTGAAGTAGTTAGATTATGGTGTGATTTTTGCTGAACTTTGATTATTTTGTAATAGATCTCATGTGTTTGAAATGATATTATGGATTTGATTCCTAT